CACTAACAAACCTTCAATTGTCCTAAATGAACAAGTTTTGTTAGAGTTAAACTAGTGTTTTTCTTTTGTTTTTTCATCAAAAAATGACTAAAACAGACAGCAAAAAATATTAAATAAAAACAACTTTAATAAAATCTTTGAACAATGCACGTGTTTTTAATAATTAACTGTTCAACCATTGTCTGTGTTGGATCTATTGTCTGTGTTTTTAACTATTGCTTGCACTTTCTTCACCATTGTGTTTTAGTCACTGCTAAGATCATTATTATGTGTTGCCTTGTATTTTGAAATCAAAACCATTGGATTGGGTATAAGACTGTTTTATCCCATATCATCAATTATGTTAATTATTCTTTTATGATGTGTGCTGCTGACCTCTTGTCCAGGCCACCCTTGAAGAAGGTGACCTGGCCTCTTGATCTTAACGGGTTTTTATCGACGACGACAATGATACTTGATTTAAAGTGGCCATGAACAAATCTGAAAAGTGCAAAAAAGAATTTACAAAATGCAAACCAAACACGGGCCTTTCTGGGTGGAATTTGCAGGCTTTCTCCCACAGACCCAAAACATGCATGTTAGACTGATTGGTAACTCTAAATTGTCCCTAGTTGTGAGTGAGAGAGTGAATGGTTGTTTGTCTCTATGTGTCCCTGTGATGGACTTTTGATCTGTCCAGGGTGTCCCCCATCTCTTGCACAGTGATGGCTGGACATGAGCATCAGTGACCCCAAAAAGGAAGAATAAGGTAAAGATGGATGGGTGGATATATACCAAAAAAAAAAGAAAAGAATTGTTGTCATGTGCATTATTAAATTACACAAAACAGCTGTAAAGATGCTAATTTATGCTTCATAAAAAGTGAACATTCAGAAACAAACGCAGGAGAACAGCTGCAGACAGAACCACAATGATCATTACGGGACCCAAAACACACCACAAAGGATATATTTATGAACGCGTTCAGATTTCCAATCTGTTTATGTTGACATTGTGCCATAAATAACAATTTAACAAATGTGTTGTTGTTTTTTTTGATGAAGGCAAAATGTGCTGAGGAACATGAGCTCTGAGCTCTAAATAGGAGGACAAGTTAGCTCGTTGCAGTTCCACCCACTGTTCCTCATGTAAATCACTGTCAGAACCTCCTCTTTAATCACATTTATCATTCCTTCTCTTTCTCCTAGTCTCCAACACAGTTCTCCCATAAAAGCTACCAAAGCTGATCAGTGAAATGTGGTTGGAAGGATCCAAAATCCCCCTTTAAGAATGAAGATCTGCAACACAAAACTGCTGCATTGTTCTGTAGTAAACACCTTCTTAACGTGACTATAAGCCTCAAGGTAATAACTTCCAAAAACGTAGCCAAGACTACGTTCTCTTTAAGTGCTTCAATCCTGTTCTTCTTTGTTCTCGCACTCTTGGTGCTAACTGAGGCACCCAAATGGTGTCAGATCCCCGCTGGCCATTATCACTCTGCCAGCCCTGCAAATGAAGATTTCTGTTTTCAATTTAAACCTTCTGGCAGCAAAAGGCACCGGAGACTCTGAGAGATGTTCCCATGATTCCACATCACAGAAAGACAACTTAGATTTGAAGCTGATGAAATTATTAACGGATTATGAATCAGTTAGTGATTTCTGGATTTTGTACTTTATTGTGCTTTTTTTTTTTTTAATTGGATCTAAAAAAAAAAAAAAAGGTGCAGATTCAAACAATGAGCTTATTCAGTTACCTAATTTAATGAAATGTTCGCACATCTTATACATTCGATTAAGCCATCACGTTCATATAGGCAGCTCCTTATGTTGCAACGTGTTCGATTTTACAGTGCACAATTGACAAACCTGCTTTGTTAGAAAAAGGTTTCTCGCTCGCAGCTCCTCGACTACAAATGCCTCAACATCTGGGCTCATCCCACACAGGCTGGAAGCAGCTCAGCTCAGCGGCCCACACAGCCCACACTCAGCATCACAGGCCTCTGTGAGGCTGCTGGCACATCAGGCTGCTCTTCAAGCAAAGAATACATCATTTTAATGACCACTTTTAGAACTGGCTTCTAGGAATATACTCTTTTTTTTAAATATATTCTCATTTTGTTTTGGAACAGAATAATTGTCCAACACGGAACACAGTTAAATGTATTTAAAGCTTTGTCAAATAAACCAAAGTTTTCTGATTATTTGAACTTTTCAGCCCACAGCCTCTTACAGATGTGTTCCCAGTGGATTGAGGAATCAGTTCAGAACAGTTTTTATCGATTCTACAGCGAGGTGTTTGTTGGTGACCTTTGTCCTGTTGGAGGTGTCCAGTCTTGGTTCTCCAGGGAATTATTAAATCTTTAAGTTCTGCAGAAGCCTGTCAATCACCCATTGATCCAAACCAGGTGTGTTGGAGCAGAGAAACATCTAAAACATGCAGGACAGTGGCCGTCGAGGACCAGGTTTGAACACCCCCTGAACTATACCTATCATGTGTCCAACTTAAGGCCGGGGGGCTAAATGTAGCACTTGTTGACATTTTATCTGGCCCTCAAGATGATATTTTAAATGTAAAATACTTTTATCACTTTGTTTTCAGTAATATCTGATTGTGATGTCAAAAGTGCAACAGAGAACATCAAATGAGACCAATCAAACTCTTGAGGAACCTGCAGCCAAGAAAAGATGTTGAGTATCTAACTTGAGTAAATGTAGGTTTTAATTTTGGCCCCCTTTTGTAAGTGAGTGACACCCTGCATCAACTTTTTGTTTCAGTTTCACCGTTTGATAGAGAACTTTCTGTTTCACTAATCAGTTGGATTTCTGAAATCTACAAGCGAAAACAGAATCCATATCGTTACTGCCACCACCGTGCTTGGTAGCTGCCACCAGAGGTGGAAAGAGTACTGAAAATTTGTACTCCAGTACAAGTACTGTTACACTGCTTAAATTGTACTCAATTACAAGTACTGGTGTTATAAAAAATACTTAAGTAAAAATACAAAGTACTCTTCTCAAAACCTACTCAGAGTATTAATTACTTTTTAACCAACTGATGTTTTACTGTGTTGTCAATAGAAGTCATTCAGTTTGATTTACTGTGTATAATTACATTCAAAGCACATTTCTCAGATGCTCAGCAGCAGCTTCATCTTATTTTAGCTCCGTCTTAGTTTAATACCAGGCAAACCAATGGCAGTGACAACATCTAAGATCTTTGCATACTTAGCCAAACTAATAACCCACACATACAAACAATAAAACAGTGATATCAGGTAGCTGAGATGTAAAACCTCGTATACCGTAATATGTTTTTTGAGATTAGATGCTGAACTTTTGTAAGCTGCTATAGAGATCAAACACAGTTTGCATCTGGACTCTGTCTCCTTTTCACCCTCTTTATATGAAACATTCCTCCAGGTACGGCCACTCGTCCTCAGCCTTTACTCGTCATTTTCTCTGTTGACAGTGTTGTTCTCTGTCTCTATTTTGACTTTTTCTCCAAAGCTTCAGTCCATAAATGACTCTCTACTCTACGGAGTTGTTCTTTGCTTACGTCATAGTTAATTGGCGCGTTCACGATCTGAGAGCCTTACTGGCTACAAAGATGCAGATGAATGGTTTGATTGGACACCACTTGTCATAGTCCAACAGGTCAAAGGCCACCAACAAGCAAACCTCGCTATAGAATCGATAAAAACTGTTCTAAACCGATGCCGTGTCATGAGCTGCACTTAATTCAGCTTCATTTTACTTTTTTTTTTTCAACTTTATATTTATTCATTTGTTAATTGTTAGGCTTCTTGATCTGGGACCTGAGTCTGAATGTCATACAACAAACATGCAAATGTGAGCTGGTATGACAATTAAAAAAAAAATCCTTGAATATTAATTCAGAATGCGGCCGTACTCAGTAGCTACTTCTGATTTTAAAATGTAGCGAAGTAGATTATACGGTCTAAACTGTACTTAAGCATGAGTAAAATTACATACTTGAAAGAAGTACTCCTAAAAGTGCAAGTACCCCTACAAAAATCTACTTAATTACAGTGAGTATTTGTAATTTGTTACTTCCAGCCCTGGTTGCCAGTGTTTGCACAAATGAATTCATTGTTTTTTGTGGTCAAGCAACCCAGTTTTTTATATATACAGTAGATTACATAATTTCTCAGAGGACAGCTTCTCCTGCAACAATGCACATCTGGCTTTACAAAACTCTGGTGTTTCTTCCCATGGAAGATCAGAGTTGTGTTTTGTGAGACTCGAACCAAGTTCCGATCAGCTGGGATGATGTTTCCCCACCTTGGACTGCAGTTGTATAACTTTTCAACCATAATTTGGGCAGGTAGGTGTCCAAATGTACCCAAGCTCAATAAATCTAAACATTGTGCCGATTGTCAGTCCATTGATCAACGCCGGAAAAAGATCTTTGAAGCTACTGAAATCATAAGATATTTTCCCCTTATAGGACGAGAACTAATATTTTAACTATGTAATTTCACTTTCTTGGTCTAAGGCCACTTTTTATTTCTTATTTGTTCTCATCACTTCATTTTTCTCAAAGCACAATACTGCAGTAATGACTCATATTAATTATATTGGGTCGAAAAGTTGATTTAGTCAGGCATCGACTCGTAGAGGTGGTCAGACAATTTACTGCACTAAAAACAAAAGTATACAAATATAAAAATTATTTCTCCATTATGGACTATAGTTCCTTATAGCCTGGATCTTTAGTCTCACCACCCAAGGCCATTGCCTTTAACATGTTTCTTACATTCTGAGTTTATTTAGAACAAACCGGTAATTTAAAATGTTAAAATACACAAAAAATACCCTGGTTCAGACACGTGAAACCACAATGAATATGAGCTGGGTGTTATAGAAAGTAATTTATTACACAAACCAAAGCTAGTTTACAAATACAGTTTCCAGTCATGTGTGTGTGTGTATAGTATGAACAAACCCACATTTCATATTTACAGACTTTGCATACAGCATATTTTCCTGTTCCTTTGTTTTACATCACTGCTTCAGCGTCCAAAAATCAGGATTTAAAATTAGGAGTAAAATCTAAAAATAATTAAAAAACAACAATTTGTACATTAGAAGACTCATGTAATTTTTCCTTTTGCCTTTTTAACCAAGTTTGTGTGCAAACCAAACAAACAGGAAAAAAAAAAGCCAGCACTCGTGGCCCTGGCGATGCTTCAGACAGGCAGCCCAGAGGCCAGCCTTGTTTCCTGACTGCCTAACAGCACTTAGCATGGATGATTGACGAGTCATTACAAACAAGTGTAAATCATCAAAAATAAAAATAATTTCAGGAAAAGCGCAGAAAAACCTAAAGCAACAACACAAGTAATCCCTAGTCTTCCACCTTTATGTCTTTTAAATACTGATAGACGTGTTTATGACTTTTCTTAACAGTTGTAAATAAAGTACAAAAACAAGACTGGTTTCTGGAACAGGCTCCGCCCACAAGGCCAGGAAGAAGAACAGGAGGGTGTAATGTTGTCAAAAAACACTGAATTTGTCATTCCAACACACACAGGAGTGTTGATCAACCCAAACATGACTGGCCACTTTCTTTTTTTTTAGAAAACATTTTACAAATACTCCAGAATTAACAGCAGGAGGTCAACCCCCCTGCACAGCAACACAGATTACCTGCACAAATCCATCTGGCTGATTAGCCTCACTATTGTGGCATTTTCATGTCAATGATTCTGAATAAAAACTTTTTTTTCTTTTAGGTTTCATGTCTCCCCCCTTACTGGTAAAACAGACGGCTGGTAACCAACAGTTTACCAATAAAAAAAAACAGCTAAAAATAATATGGTACACCCACCCAGGTAGCTTTTTATTACTCAAAAATGAAGATCCTTTACATGCCTAAACAGAAAAAAAGTTTATAGTTTTTTTCCTCCCCCCCAAAAAGTTGATGATAGATGTGCATGTAAACAATACTTTCCTCTCCTCGTTCTTCGTCCTGGTCTACAGCCAGGGAAGGTGAGCACCAGCAGTCAGTTATGTGGAACAGGAAGGGGATGGAAGTTGCTCAGGCTCCACTATGCAGGACAGGAAGCTACCTTTGTCACGTTGGACTCGCCACTTCCACTGATTTATTTCAAGCAAATAGAAATGTTTAAAGAACATGCAAATTATGGTTGATCGCCTTGTCAAAGTAAACAAACCCGCTGCAGTAAAGACCAGCATGTGTATAGCTTGCTCACAAACCTTACAGTGAACTCTACAACACTGCTATGATAAAATGCTCAACATTAAGAATAAAACAGAAGGCCATGATTTATGCTTTGAACTAGACCATCAACACCTTTAAAGTCAAACTGTGCCTCAGAGGACTCGGTATCAGATGACAGGGAGACTAGAAGTCACGAGAACCGGTCACCTCTGGTTTGAAAAAAGAGAAAATCCAGAAAATGCTGTCTTGTTATTAAAATTACTTACAAAATATAACTGGTATATTTAGGGAGCACTTGTTACTAGAGTTCACTTCTGATTTGTCTACTTTTGAGGCTGTTCATTTGAATTGCTCAGGTGACCACAGCATTCAATAAGCATGAAAAAAAAAAAGGAAGCAAAACTGAGATGCCACCCTGGTTTGGTGTCAGCGTAGTAATGCTTCTTAACACCTGTTTAACTTCCTCTTTAACCCCTGGCAAACATCTGGGAATTAAAAAGTTCTCCCAGACAAAAAATAACTAAACCTTTTTTCCAGATTGCAACCATCCAGGTTGGAACTGGGATCTCCTGATGGTCTCGATCAGTGTAAGTGGCTTGCTGAAAAGACTACATGTACCAACTCGTGGGTGGTAGCTGGTGTAAATCTGCCGACCTAATGGTGCACCCACAGGTGCAAGAGCCCGGTGGTCGTTTACTGTGCTCTCCTCTTCCCCACCCATTCATCCAACCGTCCATCTTCATCACAGCTTCCTTAATCCAAGTCCCAGGGAAAATTGTGTCTGACAAACAACCAGTTAACAGCGGTAGTTATTTACTCCAATCTTTTCTCCCCCTCACCTCCCCCCTCCCCAAACTAGTAATCCCTGTGTCCCTACTGAGCCCTATCCCCGGGTATAACAGCCCAGGGTGAAAACAGTCCAACCATGTCTGCCACTTTACAGCAGTACACATTTATTGCTCTTCTTCCCACGGCGGGCCTGCAGTGCCGCTCTGGTGGCCATCTCAAAAACCTCCCGCACGCCGTCCTTGGTCTTGGCAGAGCACTCCATGTAACCGAAAGCAGAGATGCGTCCATGCATGTCCCGGCCTTCCTCTGATTTCACTGGTTCCTGTTGGATAGAAAGACAACTAAAACTTTAACACATTTTCCAGTTAACTAAAACATGCCGTTTATTTTAGAACATTATTAAAGTTTATTACAAAAACAAGCAAGCGTGTACCTGCTTCATTTTGGCGAGCTCTCGGCGTGTGTGCTCGTCGTTACGCAGGTCCTTTTTGTTTCCTACCAGGATGATGGGGACATTTGGACAGAAGTGTTTGACCTCTGGAGTCCACTTCTCTGGAATGTTTTCTGTCAATGAAAAACATTAATAATTTTAGACAACAAATCATTTATGCATATGTATTTTGGTTGTCTGGCTAAAATATTCACCAGGACTCCAAGTAAAGGTTGAGAGAAGTTCTGATAAAATCCAGTTTTATTAAACATTTTAAAAAATTGCAACTAAAAAGGTACAGGGTGCTGCAAAGAACAATAAATAAGGTATACTAAATGAAAGTTATAACAGCATTCACACAACAGAGCTAATT